AACACGCACTACGCACGCGCATGACGTCACCGTTTTTGTCCTATCTTAACAAACCATGCATCAATGGAAAGCTTAATTATTCAGTTTCAGATGATGAAAACAATGAAATTGACCCTTTTATGACTGGTTTTGTGGTCCAGGGTCACAAATGAGTTAATGTGTGTTTCTTATAGCAGTTAAAATGTAGTCTTTTTCCTTATTATTTATTTTCATTTTTAATTTAGTGATTTTAAATGTTAATTTAGTGATTTTAATGCTTTAAAGAGCTATTTTAGATTGTAATGTTCCAATGTTCTGCTAACCTTTCTGCTAACTATAAAAGGTACAGCTGTCATAAAACCAGAGAGAACGGCTGCATGGCTATAATAGTATTATATTATTATATAGTATTATATAGAGAGTTAGCGGTAATATCATTGCGTGTTAGAGGAACTCCGCTTAGCCTGACAGTTAGCCTGCCCCAGACCAGGTTAGTTTCCCAGAATAAGTTGCCACAGTGACTGAGGTTGATCTATGTTAAAATTGCTTTATGGAACCAAATCATTTGACAATGAGTCAGACTAACTGAAATAAGCCTGGCTTATTTGGTAAACTTGTTTTATGAAATAGGCCTTGAGGCGTTAGAAGTCAGAAGACACTTAAGTTAATTTAGGATTTTTCTGTCTGAACCAAAGAAATAAAAGCGATCATATTTTTTCCATTGCATTGTATTGCATCGAATCGCATTGTATCGACTCAAATCTAAATTGGATTGCACTGCTTCATAATAGGGGTGAATTGAATCGTATCACATCGCATCGCATCAGTAGCTGCTTCATACGTATCTTTATTGTATCCTTCGTTGGCAATGCAGCGAGATTTGTATTGCATCGGCCTCAGTTATGAGATGCACATCCCTAATGGAAACACCAAGATCTGCATAAAATCCTAAAAAAAAAAAATCCTTTGATTCGCCAAAAAAAAAAAAAAAACTCGTGAGACTTTGCCTCAACAAATCATGTAATAGGAAGACTGAACTAACCAGCACACCAAACCCATCGCAAACCATCTCAAATGTTATTTTAATAATTTTTAAATGCCTGAGGCAAAGTCCATCATTAAAATTATTTGGTATGATCACCTCCCATAACTGTCTCACACGATTGCATTCCCAAACATCAGACATTTGAATTCAAGATAACATGACAGCATTTGTTATTGCAGTTCATCTGCTGCAAATCATTTACAGTATTATGTAAGAAAAAAGAGCCACAGGCTTCCCCAGTTGCAGAAACTTTTTTTTGGATTATTGATACTTTGCCAGTATTGCAGAAAGTGAATAATGGAAACATGAAATGGAAATGGTGCTTTATTCACAAATGCTTTATGCAGTATTCTAATTTCCTTAAAAGTTAAATTCAAGAATATTCAAGAACAAAAGTCATAGGATTGACAGAATTTTGAAGGAACTATCCCTTTAATGACTAATAAATTGTTCATTTATAAATCAGACAAATCTAACAATTGTTTTTCATATTGTATCACTTCTTTGCAGGTGTCTAAAGCTTCTGCAGACCTCATGCATTACTGCAATGAACATGCCAAGTATGATCCTCTACTTATGGGTATCCCAGCTTCAGAAAACCCTTTTAAAGATAAAAAGCCATGCACTATATTGTAGTGGGATGCTTGAACTCTTGCTGTATGTTTTCATGTTCCCTTTTATAATTTTTTTTTAATAGAAAGAATATGATCTTCAAACATTCATTCACTATTCGCCTGAAATGAGCTAAACCCCAAGCTATTATTTGATTGTATCCACACTAGAAATGTTCCTGTTGTCTATGAAAAGGAGAGTCAAAGCTCCTAGTAAACAAATCAATTGTGGTGCAAAGACAAAACCAACCCATGAATGAATTTTTCACTTTATGGCACAGCACAGATGAGTTGTTTGCTTTGTGATAGCGTCCACTGATGTGGTTGTGTCTTCTGCAAATAAAGGGTGAGGTCAGAGTGGGCGGCTCTCAGTATCATGAAGCACAGGAAACGATCATTTTAATGACTGCACTCTGTTATATATATCTGCAGATAAGCAGAGCTTCATCAGCGGTGCTTTGACCCCATCTGATGCTTTTAAAGGTATCCAGTCGCAGGGAGGTGTGGGGGGGTTGATGTGAGGGGTGAAATGTCAGCATCACAAATGTGTGAAGGGTTGGAGGAAACGGGTGTCTTTTGGAGGCGTCACATTGACGCAATGCTGCTCCGGCCCTCCCTCATTAACTCACTGTGTCTGAACAATGGAGTGATACAAAGCTAACCCCTCCTGTCAAATCACTACACGCTAGACTGTGCCCTTTTTATTTTCTCGCAGTAAACCAGGTGAACTGTGTTTCAAAAGTTCAACAACTGCCAAAACGTGCAGATCAGCATTTTAAGAGTAATACAAGGCGGTGTTCATGCATTTGTATGGAAGTGTTCTTTATTTCCTGTACTATTTTTTTTCTTATTTTAATTAGTGAAACAAAATTTTGGAAACACTTTACAACAAGGTTGAATTTGTTAAAGGAGACATATTATGCCCCTTTTTACAATATGTAATATAAGTCTCTGGTGTCCCCAGAATGT